CCGGCAATCTATTTTTATCCTGTTCCCTTAGTGGCCAAGTCTCTGCACCGTAGAGCAAGACTGGCCGAACTGCTGCAACGTACACTCGACCCTTCACAGACAGTCGGATGTCGAGACGGTGCCACAGATGTCTCAAGTTGGCAAATGCCAACCGAGCCTCCTGTATGCGAGCAGACACTTCATCTGCGATACGTCCGCCAGGTGAGATACAGCTGCCCAGATAACAAAACTTGTCCACTTTCTCTACTACTTCCCCAGTTAGGGTGAGACTGGGTGCTGGATCAACCCAATCTTGTAGCAGAATTTTACACTTTGAAGGTGCAAGATGCATTCTGAACATCGCTACACTAGCACTCAAACTATCCAGAAAAGCTTGCAACTTACCTGGATCTTCACTTAGTAGCACAATGTCGTCTGCATACTCTAGATCAGACAGTCTGCCTCCTGAGAGTAAATCGATACCGTTATCGTCGCACGAAGATGGGGCTGTTTCAAGAATTACATCTATGACAAAGTTAAATAGAAAAGGGCAGAGAGGGCAAACCTGTCGAACACCACTATCTGTAGTGAGCTCGGGTGAAAAATTACCGTAAGCTCGGACTCGACTTCGGCCATTAGTATAAAGCGATCGTAATATTGAGTTAAATTTCTCGGGCACACCCTTCAGAGAAAGGTAGCGCTAGAGTTTAGAGCGGTCGACTGAGTCGAAAGCCGCTTTCAGATCGAGGAAGATGGAAATGGTGGGCTTACGAAAGGAGTGTATGTGTTCTAGAATTTGACGGAGTGTTAAGATGTGGTCGATACCGCCTCGACCAGGTCTGAAACCAGCCTGCTTCTCACGCGTGCACCGTTCACGTGCGGCAGACAATCGACGGAGTATGATACCGGCGAGAAGTTTGGAGTCAATATTGATTAAACCAATTACTCTGTGGTTTTCACAGGAGGATCTATCACCTTTCTTGTAAATCGGTATAATCGCCGATTCACACCATTCAGTTGGAACCTGTTCCATTTCCCACACTCAGCCCAGGAGTTTTGTTAACTACAAAGACAAGGCTGAGCCTCCGTTCTTAAAAACGGATAAAGGGACAGCTCGTCGGGGTCGGAAGCCTCACGGCGTTTGAGGTGACTTATTTCCCGGGTAACCTGCATTTCAGATGAAGGACTGATGTCAACTGGCAGTATTTGCACAGCTGGGTCTANTAAAATGTTCTGCCCAACGTTCAAGACGATGTTCCTGAATTTGAATCAGTGTGCCGTCAGACTCCTTAATTACCTCACTTACGCCTGCTTTCCTTGGTCCTGTACTCCTAACTAAACGAAAAACAATGCGACCATTACCAATTGCCACAGCCTTCTCCATCTCTCTTCACTTTCTTATCCACAACTGATCTGAAAGGCGATCTGATATTTCCGCTTCGAAGGCCGATTTGCAACTGTCGGTGATAGTGTATTGTGGGCATCCGTTTTCGGCGGCTTTTCTGCGGTTGTTTATCAGGCGTAGGGAGAATCTCGCTCGTAGCAGAGCATGGTTCATGTTCACGGGTGTTGACCAGTAGGAGCGGCAGCTTCCACGGATCCTCGACAGCGGTGGCTGATGGCGATGTGATCGATTCAAGTCTAGCCCCATCAAGCGATAGGTGGTCTTCATTTAAGACAGCGCCGTTATTTGGAATGCAGTGTTGTTTCTTTTGCGAGAAGTAGGTGCTTAACAGGAACAGTCCGTGGTCAGCACAAAGTTGGAGTAGGCGTTCTCCGTTGTCAGGCTTGTGGGGTTGGGATTGCATGCGAACCGCCAAGTAACCTCTCTGATTCGTCCAGGAATCCCACTTGAGCATTGAGGTCTCCAGCGACTATCACAATGTCCGTTGACCGAGGGCTTTGGAGCAGTAGAGGGAGGTCCTTGTGGAATTCATCCTTCATATCTGGTGAACTGCAATCTGTCGGTGCATACGCGGATACGACGAATAAGCACCGTTCTTTAGTGTCATAGTTAGTTTTTATGTGTCACATTCCGCATAATGAAGATTACTGTTTGAATGCTCACCTTGATGTATGTTTTATGCCCATAGTCATTCCAAATAAGAGCTATATCCTGATCGGAATAGAACCAACTCTCATTCTAATAAGTAGGAAATCTATCGTGACGGACTTGATAAATCGGATGCAGAGATGACGTTATTTCGTTTATATCACATGGACTTGTTTTGCTAGTTCTTTTATTTTAATACGCGTGTTTTCCCACTGGGTAGAAAATTCCCAAAATTCACTCTACTATTTGCTTTAAACCCATGGTGAGCTGACTTAACAATGTACTAAACTGGATACCCGTGCTCTTCGTTGATAACCCAATTGCTCAAATACCGTGAGAGGGGGGATTTTTATACTGTCCTGTTAGACCGCCGCTTGGTCACCTTTGGCCTTTATTCATTCAATACCTGTCGCGGCAAACATTTTATTTGGTAACATACATACCACATGTCACAGCCATCACAGTCACTGAAGATCAATTACTTGTTAGTCCGGTTGCCCCATTAGAATCAAGCAATCACCGGGGGTCCAAGACAGAGGAGAGATTAGATGAAGGAATGAAATAAAAGCTGACGCTAACATGTCAAGTAGTTTATGCGTAACACGCACGAAAATGGGTAAAGTTCTCCTGTTTTTATTTGTTGAACAGCTAAAGAAAAACGTTTTCTTATAACTGCAACAGTAAAGCAATCAGATAAAAGCGTTATACGGTCATTGAATTTAATGAGACCAGAAGCATTACGTAGGTGACCGGCGATCCGAGTTTCTGTCAAGGTTTTTCGCTAGTTTATCACAAAAAGATTCACGCGGAAAGGTTTTTGCACAAAGCATCCCAAACGGGAAGAGTCGGACATCAGTTTTAACTGGCAATGGTATGCCGCAGTAGAAAGATCCCATGACTCGAGGAGAGCTGATTCCGAAAGAGATGGTCCAACCGAACTTTATCCGGAATAAACGAAATACAATAACCTTCTACGAGAACTAAGCAACAAACAAACCTGTTACTTTTCCGCTGCCCATTTCCCGCAATTCAGCAGAAGTTGGACTTGGTACAGCTGGGAGGAAGTGTGATGAAGGTAAACAGGCAGTCAGCGCGTTAATTGGTTCCAGGTTGCAGTTCATATGCAGGCGAGCCTTCTTCTTTGTGGTCGAATTGGAGCCGAAGTGTAGACGGGAGGATTTTGGCGTTTTCAGGACCAAATTACCTCCACCTAAATGTATACTCGAACCAAGAGCAGGCCTGGGTGATTGACTCAATTGAAGCATAGATGGGCCATCGATTCCCACACGCATACAATATACTTCCAGGGTGAACACGAAATCTGGTCGTAGGGGTACGATCTGTGAGAATTCGGGGAAAATTCATTGTACCTCAAACAGTGTGGGTATTTTGAAGGACACTAGTGGAGTACGACGAAAATAGTACAAAGTTCGATATAAAAGAGTTGAGATATGCAAAAACGATTCTGGAAGTGAACATATATCCATACTAATCTGATGACAATGAAAAGGGAGAGGGTAGATCCCAAACAAAGAGCTATTTCCAATGCACATTTCTACCTCACGTTCTGCTGATGGACTTCGAAGAAAATAGCCGACCTTATCGTCGAAGAGTCAACAATCTCTCTTGAGTAAATTTTCCCAATTCCCACTGCATAATAGTCTTTGTGATTTGGAAAGGGTTTTCCATCTCCCACTCTACCGTACAATATACTTATCATACTGGGTGTCGCAAACAGTGGCGCTCGTGCATCCACTCGTTATTTTCCTAACACCACTCTATATGTATTCCCCACCTTCCNTGGCTGGAGACCTCGGGATGATCGTAACCGATGGTTAGAGACACTGAGCGCTATGGCTGGGTGTCACAAACAGTGACGCTCGTGCATCCACTCGTTATTTTCCCAACACCACTCTATATGTATTCCCCACCTTCCGCTTGAATTTGCTTCGACATTCCAATCTTCACTTCGCTCTTTTATCCAAATTGGCAACCAGACAGCAACAAAAACCGACGCACGAAAGAGCATAGTTAATGGTTGTAAAAACTGAAACTGAAATACTTATCATACAATACCAAACAGTTCACGGTGAATAGTAGAAAGAGCGAATCTATCCTCAACGAAAATCCACTGTGAAAACCGAAGACCTGGGGTGGGAAACTACTCAAGGCCCTTTTGAAACAAATATGACATAGAACCTTAAGCGAAACTTTCTGTCACCAATCTGGAGGTATTGTCCTCACACAATCAGCTACGATGACAATATGTGCTGTTGTTGCCATAGTTAGGTTTTATCAGTTGGAATATCGCTGAACGTTCTCAAGGATCAGAAATAGTAAGAGCAACAAATGTCTGGACTCAAAATGACCTTCCTTTTCTGATACGACAATCACGTCTATGTATATACTGAAAACTTACATCTAGGTCAGCCGGCAAATCCACGTAGCCAACAGCGCGTACGGTTCCGACGGGAAGGTCGTTTATCGGTACTAAGGTGACCATTTGACTGTGATACAAACGACCTTCGCCGCGACATCTGCAAGTTCAATTCAGATGGGAATGTGTGCATAAGGTAGGGATGAATTCACACAAATCACAACATGTGCAACATTTTAAATGACAAATACCGTATGTTCAGATTGTGAAGATCAAGAGCACCATAGCGACAAATGACACAGTAGTTACAGACAAATTAAAAGACCTGGAAATTGATGATACATTGTTCCTTGCGTGTCACCGGAAGAGCATCACACTGATGGCAGCGTATTCGACTCCGTATCCAGTGATATCGAAAATCATAGCTGTCTATGAAATGGGACCGGTTACGATGAATAAGCAATGTGCACTTGAGTCGCATAGCTCTTTTCTATGCGACTCACTAGATTACGAAAAGAAACCAGAAAACCATCGAGGTTTTTGAAAACGAATTCAAAAACCAACTGCCTCCAAGCTTGGTTCGTTCCGATCAGATGACAGACACGGACAAGGAGAATCCAAACAGACCGTTATTGTTTGAAGACCGCTACGCCCATGTCTTGTAGAATAAGTGGAGAAGAAATATTAGGGTAAGATTGGGAGCATTGAATGAAGCACTAACGCACGATTACCACTATGATGGTTGGGGTATGCGCTAGGTAATTCGTCGGACAGTCATCGCCGACAAGAAATATTTGCAAGAGCAACGTTGTTGTCGTCCGCTCCAACAGCATGCCTATCCTAGTGGGGACTCATGTGTTTCGCCCCAAGTCCCGGAGGATGCCGATTTCCATCATAGGGTAGAACGTCTTCGTGACCATGGGGTTCACCCCGCCTGTTCAGTTGTTACAACCATCAACTATGCACTTTCGAGCGCCGGTTTTGGTTACCCATCTGGACCACCTCACGAAATGCTCCCATACGACCAAGCGTCTCAAATAGCCTTTGTTGAGAGGAAGCCCTACTCACTGCCTTCTCGTGGCGGCGTTTAGCAACCAAAGTGAGGAACGAAAAGACGATATTCGGGTGGGTGGACCACTGGCAGTTCACCTGACCAAAAACCTTGATTTTAAACCAACCATGAGGAGGTGTACGAACCACACACACCTTTTCGGTTGTGGCAGCGGTTACCCGTTCGATTGGGCATTGAGGTGCATTGAGCACCTTGGACGTCTGACCCCGTCCAAAGGGTGTATGATCCGATGAACTGGACACCGGCCGGTCCAACGGATCGCGGATTTCACACACAGTCCCGCTGCCCTACGGGTCGGGCTTTGGCTGGCCGAAGGCTCCGGTTGTGGATTCCTCAAGGAAATTCACCTGTCTTGGCATGGGCAACCTGGCAGTACTCAGTCCACAAGCCAATCATGGAACGTTTTCTTTTTTATAAGATTATTGTACCATGATTTGATTGACACAGTGTTCTCAGACAAGTGTGAAATATAATACCCATCTGAATAAAACAGCTAAATGATAATGATGACAATGTTGAGAGCAGATTCAAGTAGAACATAGCGCATTTACAAAGATAGAGATTACAAGAATAATGAGTAGATGCATGCACCTTTTTGCGACACCAAGCCATATCGCCCAGTGCCTCTAAACATCGACGACCATCATCTCAGGGTCCCATCACGACGAGACTGAACCTTGATGCGGTGTGATGGCTTGCGTGCCTCCATGACCCTGCGAGCTACACAGGATGGCTTTTCACAGCCGTAGGTCCACTCATGCCTGAAAGGTCAAAGAGTAGACGCCAGACGAAGCTCAGTCTCACAAGCCAGCTGCTTGGGCACCCCCTGGCTTCTTTCTTCTATCCAAACCCGCCCCTGGAGAGGCCACTCCAGTAAATTAACACGGTGAGGGGCCGTGTACCGGCCG